CCAATGGAGGTTATCTACAGGTTCCAGACAGAAAAACCAAGGCTCACGGAGGCAAATGGGTGATTCCACTAGTAACCCATATCTGAGCTCAGCTACAGATCCCACAGACCCTTCCAACATTCCATCAGGTTGGGATCTGACTTAGCAGCTTTTGCCTTCTTGTCTGCCCTGTCCTCCCAACAGCTGGGTGAGGCTGCCCATAAAGGCTGTCTAACCACACAAGGATGCTGAGGCCCCTTGAAGAAGGCAACGTCTTTCCCCTATGTCTGGCTAGTACAAGCAAAGCAAAGGTAGGCTGATCCTAGTGTGGAATTTGCCTTTCCCAGAATTCCCTGGGGAACCTGTGTGTGTGTCTGTGACACTAGTTCTCAGTTGGGCTTTTGAAAAGATGACAGCTGCAGGTGGGCCTATAATAACTACTCCATCTGTACTTTGTAATCCAAAGTCAGGCTGGCTTCCATATCATATATGGAGGTGGGAGTTTGTTTCCCTGGAGAAAACACTGTATCTCTGTTAGAACAACAGGTTGCTACATTACTTTTAAACAAAGTAATTTGGTTACACTGAGTGATTGGTTCATTCTGGAGATGATCAAAAGAGACTGATCTCCAGGAAAGGGCTGATGGCCTGCAGCCAGGTGAGGCTTGACTTCACTTGTAGTCTATGATGGGGCTGCTTGGAACATACTTCCGAGAAGTTGGGCTGAGGAATAAGGAGACTGCCATGTTTATCCGCCCACCCCTTCTCTTTAAGGATAGCCTAAGGGATTGTGACTCTCCAAGACTTGAGGTTCCTAGCCATCCATAGCTTCTGACCCTCCACTTGAAGTTGAGCTTGCCTTGAGACCTCTCTGTGTGTCCCTAAGTAGGTGGAGGGGTACAGGAAGCCCCTCCCTGGGTGGAACCTTTCCACAGGTGACCTTGGGAGAAGGAGTTTAGGAGCTCTCAGCACGTGCTACAGCCCACAGCCACACTTTCCATAGTCATCAAATCAGGAGTCACAGAGGCAAGAGAAAGCCGTGGTGAGAGGACCATGTAACAGGGAGTTTGGGGCTCTGTGTTAGCCATTGCCTCAGTAAGTCACAGAACAGGCAGCTGGCAAGTGTGATGCCGGGTTACAAGCACAGCTTTTGTGCTCAGCCGACTGGCTGGGCTCTCCTAGGCTCCTCTGGGACTGCTTGGACTTGGCTCAGGTTTTAAGTCAAGTCCACGTCTGTTCCACATGACTCTCATTTTGAGAACAGTGGGTAACAGGGCTATTGTAGTGACGGATGGCAGTTGCTCAGGAGACCAGATAAAACTCACAATGCCTTTTCAACTATGCTTTCTTCATAGAGAAGCTATCATTGGCCAAAATGAGCCCCATTGGGTGGGAATGGACACTCTATGGCTCCCTTGAGAGGCACTGACCAATCAGGGGGCAGAAGATGTGGCCCTATCACAGAAAATGAAGAGTCAGAGGAGGCCACAGTCCTACTTTCTGGAGACTCAGAGCGAGCAAGGTCAGCTTTGAGCCCAGGTAGTGTGACTGATTCTGGAAACCGGAGGGGAGCAGCTGGGTGTGGTGGCGTCTACCTTTGATCCAGGACTCTGGGGGGAGAGGCAGGTGGGACTCTGTGAGTTTGAGGTCAGCCTGGTTTGCACACCAAGTCCTAAGCCAACCAAGGCTACATAGTAAGAACCTAATTACAGAAAACAAACAAAAAGTGGGAACAGGGAATTCTGCCTTCTGCCCACTTGACACCATAGCAGAAATTTGAGGCCACCTGTGACACTTTGAGGGCACAGAGGACAAGAGATCACATTGAGCCTCCCGGCTGAGTGAGTGTGACTCCTGATGGCCGCTCCCTGAACCTTCATCATTCCCACTGGACGGGGCAGAAGTGGAGACTAACTTACCAGTGTCACTCTCCCAGTGGGTGGCTACCAAGGCAGCAGGTAGACCCAACAGGACAGGTCTCTGCCTCCCCTCTGCCATCCAGTCCCTTAACACGTCTGTGTGACTCACCCATAAAGTGAGATCTAACTTAACTGCCTCGATGTGACTGTCAATCAGCTGCGTTGTCAGTGTGGCACCTGGCATGTGTGTGGTGATGTGTGAGGCCGGCACTTTTTATTATCCATGTACATTTTATCTTTCTAAAAAGCCTCACTGATGTATGTTTTGCACATTGTAAAATTCACATATTTTTAACAAATTTTAATTTTTTTCAGGTAGCACCACCATCATGAACACTCAGTTTTAGAAGACTTCAACATGCTTAAGATTTCTCAGACCCATTTTACCATTAATTCCTTTCCCACCTTCTTCAGCCCCTGATGACCACAGTATGCTTTCTGTCTCAGTATCTGTCTTTTCTGGAAACTTCTTATAAATGCAATAGCGTATCGACCAGTACCCTTTACTGAGCATGGCTCTGTCAGGACTCATTCATTAGGCAATGGTAATCTTGGGTCCTCTTCAAGGTTAAGTAGTTGTGTGGATTACCACCCTGTTTTGTTTACCCATTCACAGCCATGGGCTTGTCCAGTTTAGGCACTGTAAGCAATGCTGCTCTGACCACCATCATAAGAATCTGTGTGAAAAATGGCCACTTTCCTCCTGGATGAAGAACCCAAGGAGTGGCTGGGACATATGGTAGTTTTTGTTGTTAAACTTTCCTTAAAAAAATTATTTTAGTGCTGGAGAGATGGCTCAGAGGTTAAGAGCATTGGCAGTTCCTCCCGAGGTCCTGAGTTCAATTCCCAGCAAACACATGGTAGCTCACAACCATCTGTAATGAGATCTGGTGCCCTCTTCTGGCCTGCAGGAATATACACAGAAAACTATATATAATAAATAAATCTCTAAATAATCTCTTTATCTATCATTATTATTGTTGTTGTTGCTAGTATTAGTAGTAATAGTAATGTGTGTGTACGTGTGGTGCGTGTGTAAGAGAGAATAATGTATGTCTGACAGTAAGTGTGAGCACGTGCCACATACTGTGGCAGTCACAGGACAACTCTCAGGAGCTGGTTCTCTCCTTCTGTTTCAGGTTCCAGGTCATCAGGCTTGTGTGGCAAGTGAGTCCCCTTGCTGAGCCATCCTCTCAGCCTTGTGCTGAACTTTTGGAGAAGTTGCTGTCCGAAGCAGTTTGCACCAGTTTGCAGACTTTGGCATCCTCTGAGACTCCTGCCTCCCCTTGTCCCAGCTTCTGCTCTCCTCCGAAATGGTAGCTTGTTGTGGGTTTGTTTGTATTAATGACTCATGGCCAGGTGATGAATCTTCACGTGCCCATCAAGAACACCTTACTTTAATAATGAGAAAAGAGTCAAGAGCTTGCTATCATGAAGGTTACAGGATGGGGCCCAGATGAAGGGCTGGGCCTCCTTGCCTCCAATTAGGGCAGCTTCATAGTCATGGACATGAGGCTGGCTTAACCCACCCCTACCAGAGCCCAGTCTAGGCTGGGATACCCTTCTTCCTCTACAGGAGCTGGGCAGGGTATCACAGCAGAGTGCTTCCGTGGTCTCCAGAAGGCTACCTGGCCATTCCTGCAGGTGTGGAACACATGCTATGTAGTGATAAGGAGTCCTGGCTTCACCGGATACCACACCGATCATGTACTGGGGCCCAAGGACACAGAGAAGGGAAGGGAGATCTGTCCCTATCCATAAGAGACCTCTATATTACAGGGAAATCAGCCCTTGTAGGCCAAAACTATGACAGTCTAGACAGAGGATTCAGGTGTAGTTTCATGGTGAGCTCTTACTCTCATGGGTAAAGTTCTAAGTTCAATCCCCAATGCTGCAAAAACAACCAACCCAATGACAACTAGATCATGCGTACAAAGGGCTTGGGGTGCCAGGCAACAGCCAGGAATGCCATTCATTGAGAGCCTTCATGTGTTGGGCAGAGACCTAAGTGGTTTCTGGTGGTCTCAGCAGCCTTACGACCTAGGTCCAGCAGAAGACATCTCTATTGGCCTGATGGATGCATGGCTATCCTCTGGTTTATGGCTATCCTTTGGTCTCAGGCCCAAAACCACTGAATCTGCCCTGAAATGCCTATGGTTTGAGCTTCTAAAGCCTTCCCCATTCTGCCCAACCTTTTCTCTCACAGACTGAGCTGCACTCTCAGAGTCAGGGATTTCTATATCCAAACAATGCTGGCTGTGTTGTGTGTATTGTAATTACATCACTTAGCTAGATAAAACACAAAGAAATGAACTCTGTATAACAAAAGGAATGTGTTGAGAAAAACTAAACCAAGTGCTTTGGAAAATATGCAATAAGAATGGATTGCTAAAAATAAATCTGTTCGCTTGGTTTTGGGAGAGATTTGGGGTGGGAGGGAAGTATAAATTTGCAGGATTCCAAATTCCAATTGTTGCAACACATCCTTGCAGGTGGCTCCCATGAGGAAGGATCGCCACACTGTATGGTGCAGTCCAGACTCCAAATACCTTTACCCCACAACCTGGCTGTAGCTGACACTCTGGCTGAACATTAGAATAAGCATTCTGGGCCCCTGTGAGGGTTTTGTTGTTAGTTTGCTTGTTTTTAAAGACTAGGTTGGCCTCGAATTCACAGAGCTCTGCCTGCCTCTGTCAGTGCTGGGATTAAAGGCTTGTAATGCCAATGCCTGGTTCCTTTCCCTTGTCCCCTTCCATACCACTCCTGAGTCCCTAAGCAACTGTCAGGCAACTGATGGCCTCTGTTGGGCTACAATGGCCTATGTGGATGGTGGGCTGTGTGGAGAGTGTGTGATAAGAGTCTGGGCAGTGAATGTGTGTGAGGCGGTGTTCAGAAGCCTCCTTGCTTTCCCTGGAAGGCTCCATCTCCACAGCTCTTTACAGATAAATCTAAACAATTCCTGGGTATTACTATGGAGATCTGTACTCTGAGAAGGGCTGAACACTGGTGCGGGGACCTAGCTCAACACAGACCTCACTCACCTGTTTGCCTGACTTGAAAGGGGCAGAGGTCAGCCTTGTGACATCTAAACCCACTGGAGAGCTCTGCCCCTGGTAGTTGCTCATGCAGGCCCTGCCCACCTCTCCACTTTTTCCCTGGAGGCACTAGTGCACTGAGATCCTGCCCTGCAGCTGTTCCCTAGGCCAGAAAGGATATAAAGGTAATTGAAGTGGGGTAATATCCAGGCTGAAATCACTGGGGCTTATACTGTGACCTGGCTGCTGGAGCCCTGGTCTACTCTAAGGCTCTGTCTACTCATCTGGGAAGTGGGGATGGTAGCATCCACCTTGAGAAAGGCTGGGTTCATAAGGCTTGTTCTAACATTTATGTATGTATTGGGGTATGTGACATAACTATTCTGGGGTTGCATAACCCTCCCCCAGTGAGAAAGCAATAGTACCCATTTCATAGAAGCCCTGGATGGATTAAGTATGTAAAGTAGTTAGAACAACCACAAGAGGTGTTGGTGTTGTGTGGAGTTGCTATTATCTTTCCTGTCATTTTTTGTTTAAAATTTCAAAGTTTGCGTTAGGCACAGGATCCTCTTGGCTACTGCTCCTGGGGAGAAGGTGGCTGAAGTTATAATGTACCAGCAAATAAGTTAGAGGATGGGGTAACTGAGAGCTCCCAGGGGTTCCAGGACCTCTAATTCAGACACACCTTGAGGACTGGCCACACTAGGGATGGGTCCATCTCTCTGAGGCCACTGTGGCTATTCAGTACTGACTTCTGGGAACACATGAATTCAAGTTGCTCTAAGAAAGAAAGGTGGGCAGTGCCTGAGGAGCAACACCCGAGGTTGGCCTGTGCCCTCTGCAGGCCTGAACTCGCAAACCTGCACACACATGTGCCCCGCACAGACATAACCATGGGCACCTTTGGACAGTGTTGATATTTGTCACTTTTGCTTAGACTTCTTTTAGAGAGTGAAGACTTCATAGGATGTCCCTTTGTACTCCAGCTCCCTTCCCTGCACAGAGGCAGCCCTGATCAGGCAGGCGATCCTTCAGCTCGGCTTTGCTTTGCTTTTGTTTTTTTGTTTGTTTTGGAGACAGGCTCTCACTATGAAACCCTGCTTGGCCTAGAATTCTCTGTGGAAACCAATCTGGCCTTGAACTCAGAGATTCACCTGCCTCTGACTCCTGAGTGCTGGGATTAAAAGTGTGCACCACCATGCCTAGCTAGACTACTTTTTCAAATCTAGAAACAATGTATGTATTTTCTGTGTGTTTTTATTTTGGGGATAAATAATGTGATTTTAACATCTTTCAACTTTTATTTCTTTCCTAAGGTGTTGTTAACAAAGTATCCCAAATGGAATGGCTGCAAACCACAGCAGTGAGTTTTCTCAGTTTGGTAGGCTGGAGGTCAGTTGTCAAGGTCAATCAGTCCATGTTCCTTGTCTGTCTCTGCTGTTGTTGGTGCTTTGTAACCATCTCCTCTGTTGGTGTCTGTGTCCAGATAGCCCACTTCTTATAAGGACAGTCATAATACCAGTTCCTCCCCTAATGGCCTCTCAACTGAAAGGACATTATTTCAAAATATAGCACATCTGTAGATTCCTATGGTTAGAACTTCAATATATGGAGTAGGACATGGGAGGAGCGATACAATTCAATGCGCAGTGTGTGTGGCGTATTGCCATGTGTGTGTGTAGTGAATGTACAAGAATGTGTGGGTATGTACTCTCATGGGCACCCTCTCAGAAGCCAAGGTATATTGTCTTGTGTCTTCCTCTATTGCTCTCACTGCCTTGAGACAGGTCTCTCACTAACCTGAAGCTTACCATTTCAGCGAGGCTGGCTGGCCAGGGACCTCTTGGAATCTCCCTGCCTCCACCCACCCTCCGGTGCTGGCTTACAGGCTTGTGGGAGCATACCTGGCCTTTCTGTGGGTACTGAAAATTTGAACTCAGGTCCTCATGCCTTCAGAGCAGGCGCTCTTACACACTGAGCCATCTTCCTACCCTGGCACGTAACACTTTCAAAGTTAAGACCCAAGTGGAGTCAGTGAGGTGGCTTGCTACGCAAGCTCTAGGACCTGAGTTCCAGTTCCAGAGCCTGCATAAAGGTTGGAGAAGAGAACCAACTCCACAGACTGTCCCCTGGGCATCCCACAATCATGACATGTGTGTTACCCCCCACCCCGACACACACATTGAATTTTAAAAGAAAATAAGAGTTTGTTTTGTTGGCACACACTTGTAACCCCAACATTACTTGAGAGATAGAGATAGGAAGACTAGCAGTTCAAGGCCAGCCTCAGCTACCTAGTGAGTTAGAGGCCAGTTGGGCTACATAAGACCCTGTCTCAATAAAACTAAAAACAAAACACAAAACGCTAAGTGTGGTGGTGCATGCCATGATTCTAGCAGAAGCAGCTGGGTCTCTGTTATCTCCAGGCCTCCCTAGACAAACATGTGTCAATCAGAGGACACTTGGAGGAGTTGGTCTTGTCATCCATCACATGGTGCATGGTCTAAGACAGGTACCGATTTTCCTTCATGAAGGGAAAGCTACTGACCCATCTCCACCAAAAGGGCTCTTCTTTTTGAGACAGAAAATGGTTATGTTTACCAGGTTACTCTCGAACCCCTGGACTCAATGTTCCATCTGCCTCAGTTCCGAGTACTGTGATGTCACGGCTTCTGGTATACATGCTTGTGTTTCTATGTGTGTATACGTTTGTGTGTGTTTATTCTATGTATGTATATATGTATATGTGTGTGTTCTCCATTTGTATTTACACATTCTCCACAGCGTGACTACTCATCTTTGGTCAGTAGATTACTAAGCTCTTCCAGTTTTCAAGTCCCATCTTATTTAATATAAGATCAGTCATTGCTGATAAACAAGCAAGCTGTAGATCTTCCATGTTGATCTTATAGCCCAGCTTCCAGCTCCTCACTCTCTAGTCCCAGTCACCAGGAGGAGCTTTGAATATGGTGACTTGCAGGATGTCAGAGAAAGATGCATTGGAGACTACATATGTAGAACATGGACTAGGCATCTGACAGATCACTCTGAGTTCGAATCCTGCATCTGCCATCTACTTGCTGGGGAAGCTACTTAACCTCCCTACACTAATGTTAAACCCACTCTACCCTGCATCACTGCAGAGTATGGCAGGAGACAAATCAAGTGCCTTATATGTAAATCCTGGTCTCTGGCCTCCATCTTTGGAGGCCCCGCCCCTATGCCCCTTGCACCTTGACACCTCCCCGAGGAGGGTCAAGGCAGCCTGCCAAACCTTGACCCCTTTTGAGTTGCTTTATGGCAGGCCCTTTCTCCTTAACCATCACCTCCCAGTCCAAACTCCTCCACTGGTGTGTTACCTATCCTCCCATTCCCTTTTAAGATCCCTTCTCTGGTCACATGCTGACAGTTGTCTCCCTGCCCCCACACCAGTGTACCCTAATGCCCCTAAACCTACCCCGCTCTCCCCATGGGTCAGAGTACTCCTCAAACAGTTAACTCCTAGGTCTCTGGACAGGACCTCACACTTTAATCCTCACCACCCCCTCTGCTGCCAAGCTCTTGGGATACCCATGCTGGTACCATCTCTCCAGGCTCAAGCAGGCACTTACTCAGGATACTTGGTCTGTCCAGCAGACAGGACCTTCCACCCTCCGGTTTTCCAAGATGCCACAATGAAGGGCCTACCTGGTCCTCATCCTGGCACACCCATCTTTGGTGATACAAACAATATTTTCTTCCTAGACACCTGCCTTCTCACCTCCCCCAAGGAACAGATGTCTGGAGTCTCCAGGATGACAGTACATGGGTTGCCTTTCCAGCCACACCTCTTGCTGAGCGTGGACCCACCAACACCCAGCTCTCCCCTTCCCCATGTCTCCCCATGCCTGCAGGAAGTAGCCAGATTTGAATCAACGCCCCTTTTTTTCAAAGAGATCCTAAATGTTGGTCATAAATATCACCTCCGCTACCTGTCACCCCTTATACAGTCTGGAATGTAATTTCCTGCCTCTGGCCTCTCTTTTGGAGGCCCCGCCTCTATGCCCCTTGCCCCTCCCCAGAGGAGGTCAGGACCACTCCCCCAGTCTACTGGAAAGTCAACACTTGGTCCGTCGTGTCCCCCCCACCCCACCCCACCCCCGTGGTCGCATTGATGACTTCCTGGAGTCCTATTAAACCTGGATATCCTTTAATTCGGCTTGTTTTGATTCGGCATGATTGGGATTTTTGTGTTGTTAGAAAATATTTCTAACACTATGTAGGTGCCCAGTGTCTGAGAATGCTCCCCCTATGCTGCCTCTTACGTTAAAACTGGGCATGGTGTAATCTTAGGGTAAAGGCAGGAGGTTCAGACAGTCAAGGTCATCCTGGGCTTTAAAGTAAGTTCAAGGCCATCTAGGGAAACAAGAGATTTTGTGTCAATACAAAAGAAAGCATACAGCACACAAATAAGCCCAAATCATGATTTCTCTGCTGTGGCTCCCAGCTAGCAAGCCATTGAACACAGCCAGGAGCACTGCCTATGTCTATGAACACTGCCCTCTGTTCCCATGTCCTGAACATTCTGAGGATTCCATGGTCCCTCAGATAGACCACACCAAACATACTTTCCGAACTGCTCATATAGTTTCTGGCCTCTGGGGAGGAAATAGTCAAACCGGCAGGTGGAAACCTAATCATGTTTACGTGGTGAGTTGTTCCCATACACTCAACTCACCTGTGCCCAGCATCCACAGTGGGTGGGTGACTGAAGGGAGGGAGGGAGGGCAGGAGATGGAATCAGGGCTTCTGACCTATAGGGGAAAGGCCCTTCAGGGCTCATTGTTGTCATATGCAGATTTAGTCACTTGCTCATTTCTGCAAATGTATAACAAAAGTAGCTGCTCTCCTATGACTCAACCAACTCAAATATAGGCCCAAGTCATGAGTGTAAGTAACCACTATTAAAATCTGATGCACATGCTCACTGAAGCTTTCTTCAAAGCTGTCCTGTGCGGGTGTGAATGACAAATGGCCCCATAGGTTCACACGCCTGAATTTTGTTTCCCTCTTGGTGGAACTGTTTAAGAAGAATTCGCAGGTGTGGCCTTGTTGGAGGAGGTGTGTCACTAGGGGTGGGCTTTGGGGTCTTCAACTCTGCTTGTGCTGCTTCTGTGTATCCAGATTATAACTCTTGTCTAAGCTCCACGTCTGCCTGCCTGCTGCCATGATGAGTGAATTGCAGTAGACTTTCCTGAAGCACTAGGTGTCATGATCAAGAGCAGCCATGTATGAGACCACATCATAACTGTTGAACAAGAGCACTCTCTGTATAATTCCACAGATACAAAGTTTAAGGACAGATTCGGTGGGAGCACCTGCCATCTCAGCTTGAAAAGTGTACAGGCAGGATTCTGAACCTGTGGTCTCAGGCTTGTCTTGTTTGTGTCACACATACACAAAACACAAAAAAAAGGTACATATATATGGTGGGGGAACGACCAGATAGCTGCCCACCCACAGAGAAATAGCCAAATCCTATCTTCACAATGTACACCATAACAACCTGGAATAAAGACATTGAGAACACACTTCCAGGGCCATTCCTACACTGAAGTCCTATTTGTATGAATTTCAAACAAAACTTTGAATCTATAAATTGGATGGATTCATTTAGCCACATAAAATTAATTTTATTTCCACAAGAGACCTAAACAAAGTCAAAAGGATCATATATTGCAGACATATCATATGTTATTGACAAAGGACTGCTATCTCTGTTATTTTAAGAGCTTCTATGCGTATTAGGAAGGGGGAGAACAACCTAATTAGAAAGATAGGCAGAGGAGATAAACAAACAGTTCCCAGGAAAGGAAACAAGAGCGGTTCTTAGTCAGATGAAAACACGGTCAACCTCCCTTGTAGCAGGAGGAAGGAGATTACAACTCTGAGATACCGTTTTTTCTATCTAACAGATTGACAAAGATCAGAAAGTTTGATAGCACGCTGTGTTGGCAAGGCTGTGGGAAACAGGCATTTCCATTCACTCTAAGTGGGAGGGAACACTGGAGCAACCTCCCTGAGGAGAGATTTGGCAATATCTGAGCAAATTAAAAATCTGCATGCCCTTTAACCCACAATTTTCATCTCTAGGAATCCACCATGCAAATATCCTCACACGCGTGGTTCAGTGTCTAGTGCACAGATTTGCCACAGCTCTTCTTATGCAAATAGGTTGGAAGCCGAGGGATTCCTCACCCCCAGGAGCTAGGGAAGCCGGTGTCTAAGTATCTGTTCAGTGGTTTAAAAGAGTGGGGTTGTTTTTAATTTCCAATATTGAAAAGTCTGTACGACAAAGCACAGCATCCTGCACGCTGAACTAAAGTCCTTGCATAAAATATCTCTGGGATGAAATTTCACTGCCAGAGGATGTCTGCGGAAAGAGACCCAAGAATGCTCTTGATAAGGAACTGGCAGGGAAAGTTCCGTCTCTCTGCATGGACTACGTGTATAGAGTAACCATGGGGGATGTGGGGGAATGTAACTTTAAAAAATATATTACAGAGCAAACAAAAAGGGGGTTGAGATATCTCAGTCGATAAAGGTGCTTGCTACCAAGCCCACATGGTGGGAAGTGGGAACAGACTCTGGAAAGTTGTCTTCTGACCCCTATATGCACTTAAGTGGTCTCTCACACACAAAATAAATAAATGTAATTCTAAAAATTAAGAAAACACTGAGTGAGCTGGTTCCAGTGAGGTTTGACTCTAAATCCCAGTTCCCCTCCGTCTCTTGGAGAAGTTACTTCAGAGCTCTCAGTGTCAGCGTCGCCATCTGTACAATGGGAAAGAATAATAAGCCCTCACGGCGGCGAGGAAACCTTGGAGAAGGGGTTGCAAAGGGGCAAAATTTTCAAAACTGGGGACTCTAGGAAGGGCGTGTGAAGGTTCATGGGTCTCTGGTAACTTTCTTATGATTTTGGAAAGTTTTCTGAAAGAAGAAATAAAAGTGCTTTCGTTTTTGCTTTGTTTGTGGGTGTCCTATTTCTTGTTGCTCCAGTCTTCACCCTCAGATGCCAGCCTGCTTTCACCACCCAACCCTCCGCTGACACACGGTTCTCTTAGCACACTGGAGGAGCACAGAGCGGGCAAGCTGGCGGCTGGCCACCTGGACATCTCTCTAGGGATCCTGTCCTCCTCGCTGGGGGCAGGTGAAAGCGCTAGAATCGCAGGGTGAAGGTGGGGTCCCCTGGGTGGATGTAGGGGAGAGGACCTCACTCTCCCGCCTGAGCGCTGGTGGCCTGTGCCTGGGCACGCAGGGTACCCCAGCGCTGGCTGCTCCCCAATCAGATAGGGCACCTCCCCCGCGCTGTCATCGCTGAGAGAGGCGGCGGCGGGGAGTTTACGTAAGCCGCTTGTTGATGGAAAAACAAGGCGCTGGCCCAGTGGCGGGCGGTTCCTGGCTTGCTCTGATGGAGCCCCGAGGATCCAGCAGGCCACAGCATTACCTGGGTTCGGCCCCGCCAGGAGTGGGGGCTGTGTATAAACTGCAAGAGCGGCCCGGGGGGGGGGTCATCTGAATCCAGGCCACCCTTCCGGTGTCACACAATGCCTCGCTCTGGACCCAGGTGCCCAGTTATTGTGCTGTATGCCCAGCCCTGATTGGGGCATCAGAGGGTGCGAGCTGTGGGACCTTGGAGTGAGCCAAGAGGAAAGTGGGGGGCCATCAGTGCTACACCTAGAGCCTCCTTTCCTGGTTCTAGAAGTCAAGGAGAGCCGGGCCAGACCTGCAGTTTATACAGACACCTCCTCAGTTCCCTCTGACTCTGGTAGACGGCTTGTGGATGACTAGGGTTCAGGTCCAGCTCCACAAGATGCATAACCCGTGAGCTCCAGCCGAAAGCTCTTTATCTGGAAAACCAGGCTGACTGCTAATTTATACTAAACAGATTTTGAAAATTACACGAGACATTCTGAGGATTAAAAGAGATGACTACAAAGCTCCTACGTCACACCCAGCTGTGCCTAGCACACTAGCACTTGTCTATGTTAGATAGATCTAGATTGTGTGTAGCTGAGTGTGTGTGGGGGGGGGTCACACCTGCCCCTTCCATTCCAACACAGACATTTGCTTTTCAGTGTGTATCCTCCTACGCCTCTGCCCTGGCTCAGGTGCCCAGTGTCATTCACTCACAAGTCTCCATTAGTTCATCCTGGTGTGGAGCAACTGTGTGCCAGGACTATGGCCGGCTCAGCCTTGAGGACCCAGAGGGAATCATTTTTGATACTGTCCTCTAGGGGGCGCAAGTCATGACGGGAGGAAAAGCGTGTGGGTGATGTTAAACAGCCTTCTTAAGGATGCAAACGGGACAAGTGATTCCTGAAGAAGCCCTTTCTGGGCTCAGAGTGTTGTTTCTACCAGTTAGGAACTGTCCCATCAATCCTAAAAACAGGAACCATTGGGAGCAATGGTTCAGGCTAGGGTCAACGCTCAGCTTTGACAACCCCTTGTTTTAATTGGACAATCCCAGACCATCTCAGACTGGACAGCCTCAGTTTCCTCATTGACAAGAGACAATAACAAAACCTACTATTCAGGCTGCTACGAGGCACCAAGGAGATCCCAAAATAGGTGATAGTGTTATTCAATGTCATATAGGGGTTTTTAATGTTTTTCAATTTCATTTTTTATATTTAATTTTTTTAATTTGATGTGCAAGGGTGTTTTCGCCTGCTTGTATGTCTGGGCACCATGTGTGCAGGTCTTAGGAGGCCAGGAAAGGGCCTTGGATCCTCTGGACCTAGAGTCACAGACAGTTGGTAGCATCCATGTGGGTGCTGGGAACTGAACCTGGATCCTCTGGAAGAGTACTTTGCTCTTAACTGCTGAACCATCTCTCCAGCCCCTCCACCCTTTTTTAAGACAGGGTATTACTATGTGTAACCTTGGATGGCCTGGTTCACCTTGAACAGAGAACCGCCTGCCTCTGCCTCCCGAGGGCTAGGACTGCAGTCACTCACCACTACACCTGACTTGAATTGTTTTCTATAATAAAGTGTCATTTTAGAGCTGAGAAAATGAGGCAAAGCAACATAAATCAACTTGCCCAAAGGCACAGAGCTGGGAAGCTGGCCATCTCAGACCCTAACATCAGGTCTCCTAGCCCCCAGCGCCTGGACAAAGAACCAACAAGGGCTC